AATGTATTAGAGAGAAAAAAAGACTGTAATTGCAAAAGATTGTCATAATTTTGGCACCAATACGGCATACTTTTTTTGGACTGGGGGAATACTTCATTGTTTGGAGAAGAACTTAAGGGTGTGTTTGAAATAAATAAAGAGGTATACACCAGGTGTAACCTTGATGGGAAAGGCTTAGAGAAGGGTGGTAAACTATCACTATGGAAGTTACTATCTTGTTGTTGCTTTGGTGGTGGTGGAGGTGGTGGTTTTTATTATTTTTACAGCAGCTTTGACCTATAATCACATACCACAAAATTTATCCTTTTAAAGGGTACAGTTCAGTGTATTTACGTATATTAATAGAGTTGTACAACACTCACCACTGTCTAATTTTATAGCATTTTCATCATCCCCTCCAAAACAATCCCCATACTCACTGGCAGTCACTCTTCGCTCTCCCCTTCCCCTACCACCCGGCAAACACGGAGTAATTTTCAGTCTCTATAAATCTATTTTGAATTTTTTATATGAATGGAATCATATAATAGTGGCGTTTTGTGAATGGCTTCTTTCATTTAACACAATATTTAAAATTTCATTCATGATGTGTCATGTCTCAGTATTTCATTCCTTCTTATTGTAGAATAACATTCCATTTTATGGATATACCACATTTTGTTTATTCATTTATCACCTGATGGACATTTGTGCTATTTCCACTCTTGGACTCTTATGAATAATTCTTCCCTGAACATTCATGCACAAGTTTTTATGTGTACATGTGTTTTCAATTTTCGTGAATATGTACCTAAGAGTGTAATTGCTGGCTAACTCTGCATTTAACATTTTGATGAACTGCCAAAGCAACTGTAGCATTTTACAATCCCACAAGCAATATGTGTGTGTTCCCATTTCTCCACATCCATGTCAAAACTTCTTATTGCCTGTCTTTTGACTTATAGTCATCCTAGTGGTTGTGAAGTGATGGTTCATTGTGGTTTTATTTCCATTCTTCTATTGACTAATGATGTTCAGCATCCTTTAATGTGTTTATAGGTCATTTGTATATCTTCTTTAGCATGTTCTACTTTTTTGGTTTTCTAACTCCAGATCTCTGCACATTTCATTATAATACTTTACTTTGTCTTCTTGATCAACCCTTTGAAATTTTCTGCTCAGCTCTTTCACTTCATTATTTCTTCTTTTCACTTTAGCTACTCTACCTTCAAGAGCAAGTTTCAGTTCCCTTCTGACATCTATTTTTGGACTTTTCCCCCCCTTTTCTGTCTTTTTATGACCTTTTGTTTTCTTCATGTATGATGTCCTTGATGTTATCCCACAACTTGTCTGGTCTTCAGTCATTAGTGTTCAGTGTGTACAATCTGTTCTTGAGATGGTCTCTAAATTCAGGTGGGATATACTCAAGGTCATATTTTGGCTCTTGTGAACTTGTTTTAATTTTCTTCAGCTTCAGTTTGAACCTGTATACGAGCAATTGATGGTGTGTTCTGTAGTCTTCTCCTGGCCTTCTTCTGACTGATGATATTTAGCTTTTCAAACATCTTTTCCCACGACATAGTCAATTTGATTACTGTGTATGCTGTCTGGCAACATCCACTTATTCAGTAGCCATTTATGTTGTTGTAAAAAGGTATTTCCAATAAATAAGATGTTGTTCTTACAAAATTGTATCATGTGATCTCCCAAGCCCTTTGTATCACCAATGCCATATTTTCCAACTACTGATCCTTCTCCTTTGTTTCCAACTCATTTCATTTTTCGAAACAAAACATTTAACTGTGTACCTGAGAAGGTAAGCAGTTTTTCCTGGTACTATTACTAAATTCTAGACAAATCACTTTTAAATCATAATTTTGCAGTGTTCTGATGTTAATCTAAAGTCTAACAGGCCCTCACTGTAGAATTCCTTCACAAACATGGGTAAGTTCCACCCCTATAGATAAGAAACTTGAACAACAAGAGAAAACTATTTCCTATTAACAAACAAAAAAATCTTTCAAAATGTAATTATTTAAAATTTTAGAGGACTTTAGCAGTAATCCACAAAATGGTAAGCATGTGACAACTGTCCACAGCAAAGACTGAGATTACTTTGTAATAACCTTGGTCATTGCTATTTTACTTGAAACATCTTGGGACATGAAAGCAGAGGACTTCACAGAAGGTGCAATTTTGGCTTTATATTTACTTGTTTTCAGGTATCACTTGCACAGTGTAAGCACAAACACCTTCAGCAAACATTTTAGTGGCAGAATGACACCTTGCTCTTATAGCAGGGGAATTTTAAATTAAATTGACAACTTGGGGAAGATAATGGCTTTTTGATTTATTTCAAGATATGAACTTAGTTATGTCCATTTATCCATCCACTATTCATTGAGCAATCTGAGCATGGATAAATGACAACTGCAGGATGCACCACCGTGGGATCTAGTCTAGATGCTGGTCTAATTGAATTCACACAAAAATGTTAATTATTGCTGTCACAATTTTTTCCAGCTCTGAAGTTCTTTAAGTCTAGCATGTATTTTGCACATGATTTTTTTTTAATCGCATATTGATATTTCCAGAAGATGTCAGCATTAGTTCAAGTCTTTTATTATAAATTTTATTTCCCATAGATATGTCAAATTTATTTGTAATATTAGGAAATCTTTATCCACATCTATACTGAAAATCCTCAGAATCACCATAAATAACTCACGTCTCTCAAGTTTCAGTTTTCTCATCTATAAAATGGGAATAATAAGCTCACACCACATAGGGTAGCTGGGGAAAATATATCAAATAATATTTATGAAGTGCCTGGACAGTTCTAATCACATGGTGTCTTAGTTATCTGGTGCTGCTATATGTAACACAAATACCACAAGTAATAGCTTTAACAAACAGAAATTTATTCTCTCACAGTCTAGGAGACCAGAGGCCCAAATTCTGGGTGCCATCTCCACGGGAAGCCTTTCTCCCTCTACCAGCTCTGAAGGAAGGTCCATGTCATCAATCTTCCCCTGGTCTATGCACATTTCACCTCAGGGACCCCAGGTCCAAAGGACACATGTTCCTAGCTCTGCTTTCTTGGTAGTATGAGGTCCCCTTGTCACTCTGCTTGTTTCTCTCTTTCACATCTCAAAAGATATTGGCTTCAGATGCAGCCTAGTCTTGTAGATTGAGTTCTGCCCCATTAACACAACTGCTGCTAATCCCAGTTTATTAACATCATAGAAATAGTATTTACAACACAGGAAAATCACATCAGATGACAAAATGGTGGACAATCACACAATACTGGGAATCATGGACTAGCCACATTGACAGATATTTTGGGGGGACACAATTCAATCCATAACACATGGTAAACACTGAATAATATCACCCTATAATGAGTAGAAATATCACCCTCACATTCATTCTTAACACTCTTTTCCTTATTTTTGACACACCATCAATCTTCGATGATGCCTTTTTATCTCTTTCTTTTGAACGTAGAACAGTCGTCATGGTATCCCATGCCAGATATTTATAAACTTCCTTCAAAACTCACATCTCGAAGATACACACGTTCTTTCTGCTTTGGTCTTTAATGCCATCAAGGGAATGATAAAAGGTCTGATTTGAAGGTGAGTACAAAATACACCAAGACAATACGCCTAACACATGCAAAGACAACATGGTCTAAATATCATATAAAATTTCCATTCTGCAGCTGTGGTCCTCCAGAACAAAAGCCCCAAGGCCCATGGACCATGTGAGGTTATACAACAGTATGTAGCATGTGGAGCTTTGGGAATGAATGAATTTTACCTTTAGTCATAGGAACTTCTGGGTTTTCTTCATTAGAAAATACACTTCCTTGTTGTATGTGGAGCTCAGTTTGAGGGATATACTTAAGGTTGGTCATTCAGTTACTTTCCAGAGTCACTATTTCTTTATTTTTGATCTGGTGCCAGTAGTCAATATACTCTTTAAAGGGAAATGAGACGACATGAGTGGTCAATACATTATTTTTGTACTTTCCATTAATACTTGCCTCACATTAATTCCAGTGAATGGTTTCTCTGATATGACAGAGATAAGACTGGAGAGCAGACATGAGTAGCTAAAAGAAGAAATGGAAGGTGAAATGGGGAAGGACTCATATAGAGACAGACAGGCCTTCTGACATATACTGATCACTTGTTATAATATGCCTAACTATGGGAAAAAATAAAACCAGTATGATTCTTAGTGACCTAATATGTAAAATAAATATACTAGTAATTGTTGTGGAATCCCTATATAGTGCAAATATTTAAGGTGTCGAAGAAGAAAATCCTGGTGACACACTTCCAAAAAATTAGCCATTGAAAACCTTGTGGAGAATAGCTCTACTCTGACACACATGGGATCGCCGTGAGTCAGAATCAACTCAATGGCAACCAGTACTTAGTACCTGGTAGTATATGTTTTGCAGAAGAGTTGAGAAGATTACAAATAAGGCATGGAAGGTGGTTTGTTGTTGTTGTTGTTTGTAGGTGCCATTGGTTCTGATTTTCAACTCATATCGATTCCACTTGACAGAGCAAAACCACCCATAGGGTTTTCTAGGCTGTAATCTTTACAAAAGAAGATTTTCAGGTCTTTCTCCTACAGAGTCCCTGGGTAGGTTTGAACTGTAAGCCTTCCATTTAGCAACCAAGTACTTAACCATTATACCACTAGGGCTCATAACACTTAATATTCTAAGTTATCAGAACGGTTCTTTGGATGTTCAGGGACTGGTCAGTACTAAGACCCACTCTTACAACACAGAAACAAAAAAAGATTGAATTTCATCTGATGTTTATTTGCATGACCTATAAACTTGGAGCTCAGACTTTTTAACTTCCAACATAGAGCAGGGACAGGGAGAGAGAACTGGAGATACCTGAATGATAAGACTTGCATCTGTTTCACACTGCATAAATAAATGCCTACCTGATATTTCTTCTTCTCTTCTTCCATAAAATTCCTAGATTAAAATGGCAACAAGAAATCACTCCATGGTGACCAAGCTCATCCTCGCGGGGCTAACAGAAAAGCCAGAACTCCAGCTCCCCATCTTTCTTTGGTTCCTAAGAACCTATGAGGTCACAGTGGTGGGGAACCTGGGCATGTTCACACTGATTGAGCTAGGTTCTCACCTGCACACCTCCAGGTACTATTTCCTCAGCAGTTTGTCCTTCACTGATCTCTACTATTCCACTGTCATTACACCCAAAATGCTAGTGCACTTTGTGACAGAGAAGAATGCCATCTCCTACCCTGACTGCATGACTCAGCTCTACTTTGCTTTTTTTATTATATCAGAATGTCATATGTTGGTTGTTATGGTTTATGATCGCAATGTTGGCATGTGTAATCCAATGCTTTACAATGTCACCGTGTCTTATCGGGTCTGCTCCTGCTTAGTAATTGAGGTATATAAGATGGGCTTGATTGGAGCCACAACTCACACAGGTTGGATGGTAAGAGTGGTTTTCTACAAGGATAATATTAACAACCATTACTTCTGTGATATTTTTCCACTGGAGCTCTCATGCTCCAGCACTTACATCAATGAAGTGGTACATTTGTGTTTCAGTACATTTAATGTTGTTGCACCAACCTTGACCATCCTTGGCTCCTATGTGTCCCTCATTGCCAGTGTCCTGTGAATCCATTCCACTGAGGGTAGGTCCAAAGCCTTCAGCACATGCTGCTCTCACATCTCAGCTGTTACAATCTTCTATGGTTCTGTAGCATTCACGTACATGCAGCCATCAAATGTCAGCTCCACAGACAACAGGAAAGTGTCTTCTGTGTTTTACTCCATTATTGTGCCAATGCTGAACCTCCTGATCTACAGCCTGAGGAATAGGGATGTCAAAGTAGGTCTAAATAAAATCATTGAGAAAAAACTATTTTGCCTTTGCTAAGATTTATAGTTCTTGAAGAAGATTCAGTAAGGAGTTCAGAGACAACAACATGTATATAGAAGTAGTGAGATTATTGCCAACACTTGATTTTTTGGAAGAAAAGTCCCAAGAAAAAGACTGGATTCATAGTGTCATATTTAGGGGAGTCACATGGAGAGCAGTATCAATCTAGGAAGTACCAGAGTTCACCCGTAGTAACCCATATTACCTCTAGTCATTTATAAAAAAATCTTCAAAGTCTTCATGTGGGAAATTATAATTTATATACATGGGATTTGGCACTTTGTTAGATAAGACTTACCTATCATAATTCATAGAACGATCTGTTTGGTCTGTATCCTTAGATCTTCTTAATACTTTGTGTATTGGCCCTTGTTTATTAATAAGCATACAAACTCTTCTGGAGAAAATGATCTCTAAAATAAATAATTTCTGATCATTTGAAATCTATGTTTGAGTAATTTCTGTTATATTACTCCAAGCATTGAACCAATGACTTCCAGTGAGAAACTTTTTCTGTTTCGCACTGATGGGTGATAGGTTGAAATAACTGTTTATAAGAATTATATGTGTTTCAGAGTATTTATTTATATATTAAAACTTGTAAAGGTATTAATGAGGAAAAAAGTGTCCACACCATCTCTAAGTATTCTGAGAACCACTAGAAGATATTCTATTAAATATTAGGATAGGATAGATATCAGACAGATTTCAAAATGGAAATAAAGCTCTACCACAAAAAAGTGAGGGGGGGAAAGAAAACTTTGAAACTTCATTTATATTTAGTCTATGTAAACTTATCTCTAACCTTCTTTCAACCATTTTATTTAGCACATTTTTATTGAGACTCATTGTGCTAGGCACTATATTGAGTTTCCATTCTAGGGAAGAAGGAAAACCGGTAAATAAATCATGATAAGTAATACAGAATTCAATGATTAACTGCCAGGTGTAAATGTAAACAAATTCATGGATATATAGAAAATGGTCTTATTAACTTTATTTTTCTGCTATGCCTTAAATATTATATTAGATTTCATAGGGAGAGGAGTTGGAAGAAGAAGAAAGTTGAGGAAAAGTGATGGGTCAAAAGCAAAAGCCTACAAAACACCCTTTTGTTGAATAGCTAGCGTATGCAATACTTGTTGAGAAATAAAAGAGGAAATTATAATAAAAAGTAACTTCTTGTTAGATGATACAAATATCAGAATGACATGAAAATTGGTCTGAACTTCATTTATAGACCATGGAGAATATTGACGACTTTTAAGAGTTTAACATCAGTAAAATAATTGTGAATCTCTATATTATTATGTGTATTAATGAAAAAGGACCAACAGAAAAGATATGCTAAGAAAATAAATTATGACCATCATTATGGGAATGAAAATGTTGGGGAAATGAAAGATATTTTGAGAGAAATTCAATAGGTTGTGACTAAAACAACACTAAGTTCTTGCCAACAACAGCCAATAAATGGACTAAACACCTTCCAGCTTTTGTTTTATTTAGTTTTCACACCACTACCAAGAGATAGATATTAACATCTCTGATTTTTTCAGAGGGTTGGAGATTGAAAATAGTTTTAACAAGGTCACACAGCAAGTATGTGGTAGAGCAGAGATTTGAACGCAGGTCTAACAATAACCCATTGCGGTCAGGCTGATTCCGGCTCATAGCGAGCCTAGAGGACAGAGTAGAACTGCCACATAGGCTTTCCAAACAGCAGATGGTGGATTCGAACTGCCAACCTTTTGATTAGCAGCTGAACTCTTAATCACTGTGTGTCTAACAACGGTCCAATTAAATTTATAAAATCATGAAGTGCTGGAATGAAAGAGATATTAAAGATGATACATCCAATGTTCCCTGCAGTGCTTTTGTCCTTGAACAATATAAATGCTAAGTGGTTATTCAGGCTATGCTTGAACATTCTAATCGTGAGTATGTGGCTGCACACTAAGGCAGCTGATTTCATTTCTGGATATGTTTGACTGCTACAACGTTCTTACTTATTGGGAAACAAAATATGTCTCTCCACGATTTCCAGCAGTTAGTTTTACTTCAATCTCTGGAAGACACATAAAAAGAATTCAAAAAAACAAAAAAATCCACTGTCGTCTAGTGGATTCCGACTCCTCGCAACACTACAGGACTGAGTACAAGTGCTCCATGAGGTTTCCAAGGCTGTAATCTGTACAGAGCCAACTGACACATCCAAACGTCTGAAATCAACAATGACAGGAATGGAAAAGGGGCAGTGTTGTAGAAACTAAAAATGGATGAAGAAAGTTTGGCATAAATAGGAATAAATACCTACTAATTGGCTTGTTAAGTCATTTGGTAAGCAAGTCAGATTTACAGTATAAATGATATTATATTCATATTTATTTATTCAATAGAAATCTACAAGGACATTATGCAGAAAATTGGTTAAGCAAGAAGTTGGAATAATGTATCAAGATATAGAAAATACATCTATATAATACTATATTGAGGGAAATATACGATTCACCATTAATTGAACTCACTTATTACAGAAAAATTAACATTAAAATGAAAGGATATTTGAAATACTGTTATTATAGTGGTGGAAAAGAGGGTAGTTTTTTTCCTTTATATTTTTCAAAAAATAGAAAATAATTATATTTTCTCTAAAATTTATCTTGTAATTAAATTGCAACTTTTATTGTCTATTTATGATTGTAAAACTAATGCATAAAATTTACAAATAGAGAAATGCTAAAGAAGAAAGCAAATAGTTCTTACAATCCCTAGATCATTCATGATGAGGTTCAATGTCGTGTTAATGGTCTTTCTTTTGTAAATGTGAATGTGCTTACCCCTTTTTTGTTTGTTTTTGTTTTAACATTCAGAACTGACTCCAGGACATAGGCCAGAGAAGCTTGCTCAGGACCAATGGGTGAGAAGAGGGAAGGTCAGAGAAACTGAATTATCAGGGGCCTCCAGGAAGCTGGGGATCAGAGAAAGCACTGGACAGCTGGAATAGGCATAAAGGTCGATCAAAAACTTTCTTCACATACATTTAATAATTTTTAATGAAACATTTGTCTTGAAAGTAATCAGTGACTCAGAAAAGCAGAAGTAAATCAGCCGTATTTAATGGGGCTATTTGCTGCATGGTCTTGGGCATTGGGGGCATTGTTGTCCACAGACTGTAGAACAGGGAAAATGAGCATGAGGATCACCATGGTAGAAAACACAGGCTGTGTTCTGTTGGGGCAGCAGGTTGGGATTCTGGCAAAAATACAAGAAGATGCTTGAGTCATTCAGACAAACAAACTACTGCATGATGAGACACAAAGGTTTTCAAGACTGACCTTACCCTCAGTTGAGCAGATTCAAAGAGGCAGGAAAGAATAAATGTCTGACAACATATTGAGGGAATTTGAGAGAAGACTTTTTTTTTTTTTTATTTTATTAGCCAAACACTGTCAGTATATTGTCATTCTAGATCTGATGGATGACATCAGTTTAGACTGAAATTGAGGGAAGATTTCAGGAATTTAAAAGTTTAAAATATACATGGGCCTTGACAATGTAATTGGTACTAGAATAACACTCTTCCCAAAATAATTTAAAAAACTGGATAAAATATATAGGTTAACTGTTTTTAGGCAATGGGCAAGTATTACAAAACTGTGATTACTGAGTAAAGAAAAACTCATGATCTAATCCTCACCACCATGTTTACTCTCTGCTAGGAGACAATTTCCTGACTGCAAGGTAGCTAACTGGCGTTCAAACAAAGTATGGCAGTCCCGCCTATCTGAAGAGCAAGACCTCACTGACACAGACATATCTATTATGAAACCTGGTTATTAGGTGCATACACAATTTGGGTTTTCATGTATTACTGACAAATTGACATTTTGTCATCAAAAAATATTCCTCTTTGCCCCCGGTAAATTTCTTTCTCTGATATCTAGTTTCACTGATATTGATACAGCTGTTCTAGCTTTGTTTTTACATTGAATATTTTTTTCTGTCTTTTTACTTTTTAACCTCCATATCATTATATTTAAAAATATGTGTGTGTGTGTTTTTTTTAAATGGTTGGTTATTTCATTTTATTTTTTTAGAACACATGTATTTCTAGTTTTTTTGTTGTTCTTTCCTGATATTCATTCCTTCTTAATTGGAGTGTTTACATTATATTTAATTTTTGATATGATTAGGTTTAAACTTACCATATTGCTATTTGTTTTCTATTTGTAACAATCTTTCTTTGTTTTTCTTGTATTCCATTTTATCTCCACTATTGGCTTATCAGCAGCCCTGGTGGCACAACAGTTAAGAACTCAGCTTCTAACCAAAAAGTTGACAGTTTGAATCCACCAGCCATGCCTTGGAAACCCTGTGGGGCAGTTCTACTCTGTCTTATAAGGTCACTATGAGTTGGAATCCACTCCATGGCAAAGGGTTTAGTTTTGTTTTAATTGGCTTATCAAGCAGTCCTGGTGATACAAATGGTTAAGCAATTGGCTTCTAAACTGCTAAACCCATCCAGCAGCTTCACAGGAGAAATATCTGGTGATACTCTTCTGTAAAGATTACAGCCAAGAAGAACTTATGGTGCTGTTTTACTCTGTTGCACAGGGTTGATATGAATTGAGATCAGCTTGATGGCATCTAACAACAACATTAAAAATATTGACTTATCAGTTATACCTTTGCTTTTATTTTTGATGATTGTTAAAGGTTTTACAACTTTAGTT